TTTGATGTAACGATCCCATTTCTAATGATATTAATATAAGGTGAGTTTTCCTGACAAAAAAAAAAACCTTTTGAAAGACTAAATAAAAATAAAAGAAATAAAGGTAAGATAAATATATATACTTTTAAATCCATATTTTTAATGGTTATTTTACGTCTTAAGATTTAATCGCAAATAGTAAAATTACTAATATTTTATTTCAAACTCTAAAGAAATAGGTTAGTTATAAAAGCTAATGAAATCCACTATTGTCAATATGTTGATTCAAATGATTATAAGCTAGTAGACAACCGCTATTATCAAACACGGTAGTTGACATTTTTAGACCTCCACTTTTGATGACAAAATCAAAGTAAAAGGACTGCAAATGTCAATTTCACAATACTTATAATATGAAATGTCGGGAATTCTGAAGTCGGGGATCAAAATTGTGTCACTCTCGAAAAATTGACAAATTTGTCACTAGGCTTTTTTTTTTTACCAATTTGTGTCAAATGATTTTTATACCAATCTATCAAACAGCCTTTTTTTTTACCAATTTAGTAATTTGGCCCTAATTAGAGAATATAATAAGTGTGACTAAAATATCAAAATGCTTTCAACTATCTTGAACCTCCCTAGCCTTTTACGATTAACTGAAAACTCAGTTGTCTTTCATCTCCTCCACGAATGTATATTTGCAAATCAGAGATTACAAAATACAAATAGCTAACCTTGCACCCGATTTTTTGCTCTACGGACTACGGTGGAAGCTGGTATGGGTTGTTGGGGGATCTCTCTCAAATTTTCGGCAAAGTAGGAGCAGAAATGGAGAAATGCGTGGGCAGTATCAGGAAGATGCGGAAAAGCCACACTAAACGCTACAATTGTTGGCGTTTGAGGTTTTGGCCGTTAGGGATGAAAAGCCAATTGTAAAAGCCACTCAACCAAACACTTTGATTAACTGATTTAGTTGGTCAAAAGGCTAAATATAGTCAAACAAGCCAAAATATGGCGGATAGGCTCTTTACCAAACACCCACATAGTTTGATTTTAGATCTAAAGTCATTTTGTAATGCTCCACTTAGGGGTGGACCGGTTCCGGTTCGGGCCCGGTTCGGGCCTGGGCCCGGCCGGGCCTCGGTTCAGAAAAAGGAGGCCCGAGCCCGAACCGGTGGTGGGCGGTTCCGGGCCAGAACCGGGCCGGGCCGGGCCACCCGGAATGTTTTTTTTTTTTTTCTTTCTTCTTCTTCTCTTATTTAACCCCCTAGCCCTCCCCCTCCACCCCAAACCACCTCAAATGGCCCAAAATACCTAATCCAACCCAAAACTTAAAAAAAAATTCAAAAAAAAAAAAAAATCCGGCCCGACCCGGGCCCGACCCGGCCGGGCCGGTTCACTAAACTGGAGGCCCGGGCCCGGACCGGTATACCACCGCGCCGGGAGGCCCGAACCGGAACCGAACCGGTTCACCGGGCCGGTCCGGGCCCGCACAGTAGCGGTCCGGTCCGGTTCCGGGCCGGTTGGCCCGGCCCGAGTCCATCCTTAGCTCCACTTTTAGCAATATGTTACCAATGTCAAAGGATGTAACTTTTTATAATTGTTTAAAAAGAAACTAAATTTCATCATATAACGGATGCATAACATCAAAATTTAGTTATATTTCAAAGTTTCACTCGATCAATTTTCAAATTACATACTTAATACTCCGTATAAATGTATAATGATGTTGCGTTTAAGTAGTACAATACATTAAATCAAGAGTAAGGATATTTAAACATAAGATACTACATGCTCTCACCTTGTATCAATTTCCTTCTAACATCATTTGATCTAAAAAAATCATAATGTTAAATAAAATAACTTACAAACACTCAAGTAGTGTCACAAAATTAGAATTGAGGTAATCATGTTGCACCACCTAGCAATGATAGTCGTAATACGGAGTACCAGAAAGAGTTTTGTTGATAGAATGTATGAATTTGAAATATCTTTTTTTATCTCCATCGGTATGTATAGTAGCTAAACTTTCAAGTTTTACATTGCCAATTTAACAATGAATTTAAAGAGTTGCGTTTAAAGCACAACCAAATATGAACTAGCTAAGCTAAAAAGTAATAACCAAGTTGAGTGCAATAGCAGTGATCAGTGAACTAGTTAAGAAAAGGAGTATATCGGTGTTAAGGACGACTTATTACAAGAAATATATTATGTACAAATGAACTTTGAATCTGTACTACGGTCTTGTCCGGTATCGATTCTCATTCGGCGTGAAACAGTTATTGGAAAACTATTAATGATAGATTAATTATCAATTCGAGACCCGAAAGATAAATAAATTATCAATCTGAGACCCGATCGAAAGATGATATGTATCGGTATAAGACTCGAATGATGAAAAACTATCAATCTAGGATTGATAATTTTCAATCATTCAGATTCTAAATGGATAGTTTTCCATCATCCGGGTCCTATATCGATACATTTCATCTTTCAGGTCCCGGATTGATAATTCGTCTATCTTTCGAATCATGAATAGATAAAATTCCTTTTTCCAATTCGGTAACATATGGTTGACAACTTGAGTTTGATACCAATGCATGCCAATTTTTTTTTACTTACCTAGTTTCTTAGTTTTGTTCGGTCTGTGAACGTTCCGATAGTTTTCTTTGGCAAAGTAGGTATGAATTGGCAATGATATCACACGACAGTACAATACGGTTCCAAGATTTGAATTTGGTACTTACTTGTTTTTGGTTATATATGTTGGGCGTAAAATTAGGTCACCTCCCAAGTACCAAGTCGTCATCGTTTTCATCTGTGTGGGCGCAAATGCGCAATACTTCAATGCATGCAAGTAGACCAAGCTCATAATTGTAATCAAATTGAATGTTTTCTAGATATATTACGTACCATCAAATTGTTACCAAATGAAAGCTATTATTGTTATACTCATTCGTCCAAACAAAATTGTGATTCTGTACAAAACTCAACCACATTAGTTTTACTTTTTCTATTTTTCAAAATTTGCAATGTCCAATAGAACCGAGGTAATATAACTTTACGCACGCAAAGTACTTGTGTGATCATGTACTAGTTTGTACTTTGTAGGAAAGTGAAAATGAAAATCATATGAAAAACAATTTTTTCTCTTATGACTTCATAGAGTAAAGAGTGATGGATTAGATGCACTTCAATTTTGTTTGTATCTATAAAAAACTTGACCTATGAGCCGGTTTAGTGACCACATTGTTTTGGCTTATCAACTTTATCAATCAACTTTTTCACCAAACACGTAAGTTTTTTGTGCGTTGAATTATGTAATAATCAAAATATTTAAGGTTGAAGATGTTTTTCTGGCTGAAATTGCAATAGAGAATCATTTTATCTATTTTTCATATTTTTTTCTTTATTTAATTAATAAAATATGTTGTAAATACGTAGTATAATTTTATTAAAATATTACTCCCTCCGTCCCTTTTTATTTAGCCAAACACTGTTTTTGAAGTCAAAGTTGTTCAACTTTGACCGATTATATATTTATACACGGTACGTAATATTAATAATATGAAAATAATACGAAAATGTTCTTTGTTGAAAATACTATCATAAAAGTATAAATTTTTTTAACTTTTACATAAATATATTAGTTAAAATAATGGACCAAAGTTTATCATCTTTGACCGGAAAAGTCAAAGTTGACTAATTAAAAAGGGTCTTTTAGAAGTACTTTAACCAATACTGTCAAAACAAGTAATTTGAATCTTCATTACTCGTATTATTATTATTACACCCGTTGTTGGGTTAATGGCCCAACTTGAGGTTCGGCCCATTTTCCCCTTCTTGCGGACGTACGTCCAGATAGAACACCAAGCTAGCCTGACAAGCCCACGATCCCCCAGGGGAGACGAACGTCTGCAGTTGGGGCTTAGGCTCAACGGCCCATCTCGACGAGCGTCTATGCAGGAACAAGGAGCAGGACCACGGGCCACCAGGATGACGACGAACGTCGCCAGAGCAAGCCCATAGCCATCGGAGGCAATCCAGGCACATGGCGAGAATCCACAAGGCCAGGGGACGAACGGCCAGTACCCCTTGGAGGCCACCTGGAGCGATCCAGCTCGCTCCCCGGGCGGACGAACGTCCCCAGTAATTAGGCGGGAAACCTAGATTCTGGCGGGAAATGCATTTAATGCTGAAGATTTGGTGGTTGAGACACCAGTGAACCACAGGCTTCCACGTCAATATAGCCACCTGCCCATTGGTGGGTATAAATAGAAGCATTTATTTCATTGTAAAGGGTTGGCAACTTTCTATTCTTAGCACTCTAACTATAGCATTCTTACTCGCGGCACTTCTACTGCCTTGTAAGACGAACGGCCGACGGAGCCTTAGCGAAAAGTATTGTATTAGGGAGTTATTAAGAGATAATAATACCTAATCACTTACTTGCTGCTTACTGTTCTCTCTGATCCATATCACTTGCTTGTTGGGCTAGATATTCATACACACTCCACTCGAAATCCTTGGGCTTACGTGTTGGACCCGAGGGTTGAAGGAATAAACCTCAACACCCGTCAAATAACAAGTTGGATTCTTTCAAAAAAAAAAGTTGAATGTTTGATAAAAGTGGAATTTTGATTTTGCACCTTACATTTTAGGTGATATTGAACTTTGCACCTCATTTTAAAAAATTGAGTTTGCAACTCATTTCTATTAAAAACGATTGACTTTGCACCCTATTCCGAAATGTTTCTTGACAAAAGATTGGGTGCTAGGGTGCAAACTCATTTTGTTTTGGAAAATAAGGTGCAAAATCTCATATCACCTAAAAAGTAGGGTGTAAAGTCAATATTTTATATTTTATTCATTCTTTTTTAATTGCTACAGTCACTTTTCATGTTTGCAATCACACAAGTTAGACTGTTAATATCTTTCATTCCTTATTAGTGAAAAATTTAAAAAAAAAATGGAAAATTTAAAAGAGAACGGAGGCCCTATAAGTTTGAAAAGTTTATTTATAGAGCCATAGAGGATTTGATCCGTCCTAGTATAGCCATCATGGAATTTGTTGCCCGAGACCTGATAACTTACTCGATATTTGCTGTAGCAATTGGTTGTTTTTACATAGTTTTCCACTATGTCGGTCAACGGTCAAATAACTCTGGGAAACAGAGGTCACCGCCGGAAGCCGGCGGAGGGAGGCCTGTTTTCGGCCACCTTCACCTCTTCAGAGGCGCCGTCCCTGCCCACGTGGCCCTCGGAGAATTGGCCGACAAGTACGGACCGGCGTTCACTATCCGGATCGGCATGAAGAAAGTGTTGGTCGTCAGCGACCGGGAATGGGCCCAAGAAATTTTCACTTCCCACGACCTCAGCGTTTCGGAGCGTCCGAGGTTTCGCGCCGCCAAACACTTGGGCTACGACTACAAGATGTTCGGATTCTCACCGTACGGTCCGTACTGGCGAGATATCCGGAAGCTCACTTCCACGCAGCTTCTCTCCCACCGGCGGCTCGACCAGCTGAAGCACGTCAGAGACTCCGAGATCGAAACCGCCGTCAAAGAGCTTTATGATCTTTGGAGGGAAAAGAACCCCGCCGCAGGCGGCGGAGATCGAGTCCCTGTTTTGGTGGAAATGAAGAAGTGGTTCGGAGACGTATCGATGAACGTGTTCCTTCGGATGATCGCCGGGAAGCGGTGTTTTGGCCGGGCGGCGGAGAGGAGTGATGATGATGACGGCCGGCGTTGCCAAAGGGTTTTGAGAGACTTTTTTCACTATCTTGGCGTCGCTGTTCCGGCGGATGCCCTGCCAATATTGGGATGGTTAGATCTCGGCGGGTATGAGAAAGCCATGAAAGGAGTGGCTAAAGAAATGGACTTGATCGTTGACCAATGGTTACGGGAACATCGCCGCCGGCTCAAAGAAGAAGGAACTGGCGGCGGCGGCGGTGAGAAAGATTTAATGGATGTCATGCTTCGTAGTGGTTACGATTCTGACGATACAGCCATCAAATCAACTTGCATGGTACATTCCGAACTTTCACGAGTACTAGTTAGACGTGAACAAAAAAATTGGGAAAATCGAAACCCACATACAGAAAACAATCCGTTAAAATCGAAATCTACAAAAATCAAAATCGACCAAAAAGACAGATTCATTAAAACCACCCACTAAAAGTCTAAAATCGAAGATCCAAATGGACTATTTTGTTAGTTATTCTGTTTACGGTTTATACTTTTCAATTCGAAAATTGATCAAATCAAAATTGACCCAAACAAAACAAACTAAAATAGATCGTAATTGATAAAAAACAACCAAAACGGTTCAATTTTTTTGGTCTGATTCTCTGATTCAAATGTTCAAAAAGTCGCTAAAACCGACCGATTAAAAACCAAAACCGACCGACTTAAAGCCGAAATCGACCAAAACCGAATCGATAAAACCGAAACCAACAAACACCCCTAATATCTATATCTATTTCTATATATTATACCATTCAAGGTCACATTGCCATGTGTCATTCTATTATTTACTATTGCCATGTATCACTCTATTGTCTATTGTTAGCCACATGTCACTACATTATTTGTTCATATTTCAAATCTAACAAATTTATTACCATTAAAGTCTAATACGAGTATATACTACATACTTTCTCCGTTCTTTTTTAGTTGCAACGGTCAACATTTCACACTTGTCAACGCACATCTTTGACCGTAATTATATCTTAATCCTCATTAGTAAAAAATATTTAAAAATTAGATTTTGAAAATTTGTAATGAGATGAATTGAACAATATAATTTTAAAAAAATAATTTTCATAAAATAATAATATAAAATGTAGTCAAAGTAGAACATGTGAATAGTGTAAAATTCAACATGTTGCGATTAAAAAGAGACGGAGGATAGTATTTATTACCTTTATTAATATTGCTTTGTAATTGTTATTTATGTTTAATAAATAGATTCCATTATATTACCTAAATGATTGCCTCTATACACGTTTTTTTTTATCAATATGATGATTTAAAGTTCATTTGATGACCCTATTTTTCAATTTGTCAGGCTTAGCTTATCAGCCAACTTTTTCACTACACATAAATTTTGCTTTCGCACGCTGAATTTTGTAATAATAAGAAAAATAATGTCGGAGTTACTTTTCCGGTTGTATTGGTTGAAGTTATTGTAGAGAATCATTTTAGCTATTTTTCATATACGTTCTTCTTAGTTTTATTAATAAAAAGTTTTTTCATTATAATTTCTTTTATAAATCAGCAGAATCAATAAATGCATTCACTTCAGCCAGAATTTCATAAATTTCAGCAGAACCAGCTGATTCAATCAATTTCAGCGCCCATTTGGTGACCATCTTTTTTGGCTCATCAGGCTCACCGGCCAACTTTTTCACCAAACACATAACTTTTGATTTCACGCGCTAAATTGTGTAATAATAAGAAAAAGTAAGGTTGGACATACTTTTCTAGCTGTATTGGCTGAAGTTACTGTAGAGAATCATTTTAACTATTTTTCATATAATCTAATCTAATCTTTATTTTATTAATAAAAATATTTAAAAGTAATTTTTTTATAAATCAGCAGAATCAGTCTATACAACACCTTCTGTCAGGACTTCATAATTTCAGCAGAATCAGCCGGTTCAGCCAATTTCATAGCCCATTTGGTGGCCATATTTTTCGGCTTATCAAGCCATCAATCGTTTTTCCCAAACACGTAATGTTGGATTTTGCACTAGATTGTGTAATAATAATAAAAAAGTAAGGTTGAAGTTACTTTTCTGGATGTAATGGCTGTAGTTACTGTAGAGGAACAATTTAGCTATTCTTCATATAATTTTTTATTTATTTTATTAATAAAAAAATTGTTTTTTTTATAAATCAGCAAAATCAGTCAATACAACCACTTCTGTCGGGACTTCATAAATTTCAGGAGAATCAGCCGATTCTGCCAATTTCAGAGCCCGTTTGGCTACCATGTTTTTTTTGCTTATTAGGCTCATCAACCGTTTTTTTGCAAACACGTAACATTTGATTTCCCGTTGAATGGTGTAATAATAATAAAAGATAAGATCAAAGTTACTTTTTCTGGTTACCCAACCTATCTATCTATCTATCTATCTATCTATCTATCTATCTATCTATCTATCTATCTATCTATCTATCTATCTATCTATCTATCTATCTATCTATCTATCTATCTATCTATCTATCTATCTATCTATCTATCTATCTATCTATCTATCTATCTATCTATCTATCTATCTATCTATCTATCTATCTATCTATCTATCTATCTATCTATCTATCTATCTATCTATCTATCTATCTATCTATCTATCTATCTATCTATCTATCTATCTATCTATCTATCTATCTATCTATCTATCTATCTATCTATCTATCTATCTATCTATCTATCTATCTATCTATCTATCTATCTATCTATCTATCTATCTATCTATCTATCTATCTATCTATCTATCTATCTATCTATCTATCTATCTATCTATCTATCTATCTATCTATCTATCTATCTATCTATCTATCTATCTATCTATCTATCTATCTATCTATCTATCTATCTATCTATCTATCTATCTATCTATCTATCTATCTATCTATCTATCTATCTATCTATCTATCTATCTATCTATCTACCTATCTATCTATCTACCTACATATAATTAAATCACTTACGTGAGACTCCCGCCTAAGCTCAAGGATATTTGGGTAACTTTGTATTTGGATATATAATTAAGTTTCTCATCTGAAATCTGAACAACCGGAGGGTTTCACCCCCAAATCCGCTTTACCCTCTTCATATTTATCACTTTGTTTTAAACATTTCTCATATCACATTTTGTTCGCGAATTGTTTCTTTTCTCCTGTGCAAGTCTCGAATTGTTTTTTCCTCACTAGAAATGTCCAATCATCTTCTAGATATCTTCTTCATGAAATTTCCATCCACCCCCTTTTTTTTACTCCAGGGTGGTCTGGGGGAGGGGAGCTGAGGGGCCTGGAGTAATCAAGGCTGAAACTCAATCCATTGAGTTTCAAACCCTTATGTGCCTAGCGGGTTTCGAACTCGAAACCTCTCGCTAGGCACAAGTTCTAACCACCCTTTGATCTCTATTCTCCATAAATTCCCGGCCTCTTTCATCCCTAACTCATTCCACTTCTACAAAGTAAACTTATATAAATGAAACCCGAGAAAAAATCTCGCTTTATTTAAAAGTAAACTGCATTCGTTTACAAGTTAGATGCAAAATGTAGTTTTTTTCTTTATAATCAAAGCATAAAAAGAATATTTTTATTATTCCGTCAAGTGTGTATGGCTTATTTTCATAAAGTCATAAACCACTTGAAATTAGAAAACTGAGAGCATATGTTGGCTTAATGGTCTATTTGTTTAATGTGATAGCTTCTTTTTTTTATCCGTCTCATTTGAGTTGAGTTTGGACTCTAATTGATTTGGATTTTGGATGGTAGTTACATGACCTTATTTCATATATAAGGCTGCTTTATTTGGTTACCCTTTAGATTTCATCAATATTACATGTTTTTGGAATATTAGTAAAGTTTTAGTTTTGGAAGGAATAAACTTAGATCTTATTCTATTCAAAGAAAGAAAAAACTTAGGTCTTATTCTAATCTAACATTGAGAATAATAAACAATCTAAAAATCACAAGTACGGATAATAGATTCTATATGCTAACAGATAATCAAAAATAAAATCATCCCAAATTGAGTTGAGCAGATCTTATACTACCCTTCTATACTTTTTATATAAAAAAATTCAAAAAGTTCAAAACATTAATTCTAACACTTAAGTTAATGAATTACTAAAAATACTTAAGTTAATTACAATTATTATTATTATTATTACTATTATTCTTATTATTATTGTTGTTGTTATTATTATTATCATTATCACATGTCGATTCATTTTCACAAAATTATGAATAAATTGATATTGTTTGTTTCAAAACAAAATAAGCTAATATTGTTTTTACACAATATCTAATAGTCACATTTCAATTTTCTAATATGTGTGGTTGGGAAATATTGAATATAAACTTTGATTTTTAAAATATAATTAGACTATTTGGTTAATATAACATTTACTTCTCACATATAAATATCTAATTTAGTATTACCTCCGTCCCGACTCAAGGTTCTCATTTGAAATGGCACGATTCTTTAGACAAAAATTACTTCAGGTATATTTTGAGAAACACTTTTGATTAGATTATAGGGAAAATCGCACATTCAGTTCCTCAAATAGTACCGATATTGAAATGTAATCCATGTCCTTTCAAATTTATAAATCTCACCCCCAACTGCCCAAATTGCTGTAAATATAGTCCTTTGAGGAATGAAAATTACAATGTGGGCGAAGACTACATTTACACTAATTCAGACAATTGAGGGGTTACATTTACACATTTGAAACACACGGGGATTACATTTCAATATTTGTACTATATTCGAGGGACTAAAAATGTGATTTTTCCCTAGAATATATATCATATAATGACGCCATTGATGATAACTGTCAAATTATGGATGTGTTATATTTAACATTTGATGATAAGTTTTAATTTAAAAGTGTTAATTCTTTCTTAAACTAGAAATGATCAACCATGCAGTTTGTGACAGTTTCGTATAAGAAATGTTCCAAAATTGGAGATATCATACACACACGGAGTATATTCTTTTGTAAACTAAAAAAATCATCCACAATCTATATGACAAAATATTTGTGTTTATATGACAAAAGTTTATAATAAAAAAATTCTTCTTGACTTACAAATTTTATTCTCCTGTGCATCGCACGGGTAGAATACTAGTTTTTTACATTTTGGTGTTTCAATTTTTAAGAAATTGGCCTATAATTAATTAAAGCTTTCGAAAAGGAGTTAATGGCCTGGTTTACTCTCTGTATTCAGTAATCAAGTACATACGTAATATTGAGTACTTTTTATAGAGATTTGTGTAAACAAGAC